GTTACTTTCCAATAGTACCACGATTGAGGAGGATGTATGCAATAACTGAGACAGTTGAACAATTAAGGTGGCACTCAACACATAAAAGTCAAGATGGTAAGATGAGACATCCTGTTGATTCCTTGGCATGGGATAGGATAAACAAGAAGTGGCCTTCTTTTGGATTAGACCCTCGAAATATTAGATTTGGCCTTTGTACTGATGGTTTTAACCCTTTTCAAGATCTTAGTTCTAGATATAGTTGCTGGCCAGTTATCTTGGTTATATATAATTTGCCTCCTTGGTTATGCATGTCTAAGGAGAGTTTGATGTTGACTTTACTAATCCCAGGTCCAAAACAGCCAGGTAATGACATAGACATTTATTTGGCACCACTTATAGATGATTTAAAAGATCTATGGAATAATGGGGTGAAGGTGTATGATGCATTTAGTAAGGAGATGTTCAACCTAAAATCTGTTTTGATGTGGACAGTAAATGACTTTCCAGCTTATGGAAACCTATCCGGATGGTCTACCAAAGGAAGGTTTGCATGTCCAGTTTGTCGTAAAGACACATGTGCTGATTGGTTGACACATAGTCATAAATTTTCATACATGGGTCATAGAAGATTTCTTGCTATGAATCATCCATATCGCAAGAAAATGAGTTGGTTTAATGGACATCATGAAGATAGGAGTAGACCAAAGATTTCTACAGGTGAAGAAATTTATCTTGAAGTTGATAGCATTATGACTGACTGGGCGAAAAAGAACAAGAATGGAAGAAAGAACAAACAAAGAAAAGACAACAAGGGAAAAAAAGAAACCAAGGAAAAGAAGGAAAAAAATACGAAGAGGAAGAGGAATCAAATGAAAGATGCAAATTTTTCTGATCTTATATGGAAGAAGAAATCAATATTTTTTGAGCTGCCATATTGGAAGGTATGTTATAAATGATAGTATTAGTAGTTAGTGTCTATTGTTTCTATTTAATTTCTTTTTTTTTCCCCATCGTACTACTACAAAACTGGTCAAAAGGTACGGTCATAAGAGCACAAATACAAAATTGTGCTGTCTTTACTAACATTAAACATAAATAAATTATATTTGTGCTCTTTTCATATAAAACACAAATAAATGTGCCAAATATGTTGATATAGAGCACAATTTTATATTGAACACAGTTAATCGTGCTCAATTGGTTGTGTAAATTGATTTGCGTGCTATCTGACAAGTTTTTAATAAAAATAAATGATTTAATTTTGATAGACACAAACAATTGTGTCTTAATTAAGACAAAAAAAGTCAGCAATAGTTACCATTTTCAATAATTGACTAATAAATATACAGTAGTTGAATAGTATATATATACGTACAACTGGTCTTCGAGGGAGAGCGGTAAGAAGGAGAGCGGGAAGAAGGAGAAGAAGGAAGAGAAGAGAGAGGGATGGAAAAAAAAGAAAGAAAAAAGCGGGATATGGGAGACGCGCAAAAGAGGAAGAAGAGGAAAAAATTGCAGAGTGACAGAGGAAGAAGCAGGAAAAAAGGAAAGAGAGAGAGAGAGA